TTTCAGATTTTGAGTTTTAAAAAGTTAGTTTTCCCCTTCTCGTTCACTAAAACCATCAAACATCAATTAAGTATGGATAAAATGCATACAATGAGATATTTTCTTGTGATCATTTTAAATCATGACACATTGATGAGGCACTTGTAGGCTTATCCATGCTTTGTAAAGCTATATTGGATGTTGTTTTCAAATGCATTTTCTGTAGTTGGGAAATAAAGTCCAGAGCATAAAGCTCCTGAAACTATCATTTCTGAAATACTTCAACTGCTGCACTTCCATGAGAGAGTCACATTTATAGCCAACATCAGGCTGGCATGGAGACTGCCGATAATCCATGGCTGAGGGACAACTGAGCCAGCAGGCACTGTTTAGGCCAATCTTGCTGGTTGTTGTAGGACCTGGCTCTGTGCCCAGCACAGCTTCACCCTGTGAAGGAGGCCCCGGAGAAGTAATACCATCTGAATTGGTTCCCAGGATGTCACTCTCCTCTTGAAGATTTTGGTATGCAGCTCCTGGGGGCAGGAATTATGGCCACCCTTGCTTTAAGCTATTCAAAAAGTTTTGCATTTGTAATGTTGAGTTAAGAGTGTAAGGGTTAAAGCAAAACGAGAAACGGCTGAAGTTCTGTTCCGTAAGAAAAATCTTTGCTGCCCCCTTGTGATAGTATTTTTTATCAACAGAATGTAGGCATTTGAGATTTTCAGTGGGTAAGGCAGTTCAACACTTAATATGTTTTCACATTTGATTTAGTTAATTGAGCAAAGAATTTCAAGAATTTTTTTGTTTTCTTGTTATCCATTCTGTGTTGTATGACATTCTCCTGGGACTACTCTATGACAATTATTCAAACCAAGGAGAAAGTCCAGAACAGGAACATAAATGGTGCACCGGTGAGCATTTCTGTTTGGAGCAAAACACAGGACCCATATCTTGCCCTTCACCTACTCTTTCTGCTTCACTTGCTCCCTCTTACTATGCTCACTTGAGATACAGTCTTGGAACAATTTCTTGACAGAAACACTTTCAACAGCAAGGCTGGAGAATAACTGCATACCGCTAACAGTTTTGTACACAGAGCACACAATGCGAAAAAGGTAAAGGAAAAATTGAACCTGAAATTCCAATATTTTGTGGGAATGCTTCTTTTGTACAGGTTTTTTTCAAAGATGGGAGAATGTTCTCAGCACAACCAAAATTCGTGTTTAAAAGCCAAAGATGTTGCTATTGCCACGATCCGTGTAGCACCTAATCTATCGAAACATTAGACAGGTTTTTAACACATGAATTCCGGTCCCCAAGTCAGAAATCTATTTTTACATGAAACCTCTAGTATTCAACACTAATGTTTGTGAGTTCATTCAAAACACAATGCCATACATATTTTCAGCTGAAGAGTGTTTCTTCACTACTCATCCATTAGCACCCAGCTCAGGAAGGCCTTATTAGCATTTAGACTTCCGACAAGTTTGGGCAGGTTTTAACTTTGACAAGCCTCTGTGCAGGGTTAAGAGAGAAAAAAAAAAAAAAAAGCTTTGTCTTTATTGTAATGAGAATTTCAACTAATTAGAACTCAAGAAGTCAGAAAGTAAAAGCAAGCTTTGCTTTTCTATAACTAAACACATCATTCCCAAGAAGCAGTCAGATTTTGTTGGGTCATCTGACAAGCGATAAACAGAATCTGCTAGATGTTTTGCATCCAAAAACCCTGTAAGATTCACTACGGAAAAAGAATTTGGGCTTACAAAAATTTAATATAGTCACACCAAATACTAAGTCACCATGAAACTGAAGTAGAGAAAGGAAAAAGCCTGAAACTTAGTAGTACAAAGTATAAGGTTATACTTAAGGTTCAGAAAGAATTTATGGAAAAAGCTGGGATCTTTTCAAAATTTGTGAAAGAAGAATGTAGGAGTACTATACCTAATGACTAAACTGCAAGTGTGCAGAAGACATAAAAGAAATGCCAGTCTTCATATGCATTGGTCAAAGTATTTCTGGTAGAGAGAAAAGAAAGCCCCAATATTATTCAAGGTCTTGAGGAGACTTTACATGGAATACTGGTTGCATCATTTAAAATAATAGATTCCAATGGAAACAGTGAAGAGTCATTAAGACAATCCAAGAAAGAGAGGTTGTGTCTAAGACATGAGACAAAGTTCAAAGTTTCTTGTCAGTGAAATAAATAGTGAGGGGGTATTTATACTACACAATCATAACATTGGGGAAAAAAGGTCTAAGGGGGGGAATAGATGTATAGAATAGCTATTTTAATAGCAATGCTGAAAGAAAAGGCAACTGGTTAGGTGAATAGTAGAGCAACCCAGAATATCTCTCCAACAAAAGTCATGAGACAGTATTCTAGCCAGTTTTAAGGCAGAACTTGATGCATTGACTTAAGAGCTTGGCAGTAGACTCCAAGAGTCCCTTTCTAACCTGACACTTCACACTCCTTGTGTGCCTATGAAAACAGAAAGAAAGGAATTGCTTTTTGTATTAAAATTCACCTAAATTGCCTAAAGACTACTAATGAATAACCAATATATGGACTAGGAAAATAATCTGACAGATGTTGATGAGCTCCTTAATTTAGCAAACACAATTTTGTTATCCCTTTCAGCTAGTTAGTGACAGAACATACTAACATTCTCTATCCAATAAACAATTCAAAAGATTAGTAACATTTTCTTTGCCTAAGCTGTTCCATACTTGTGACCAAGGAAAGAATGATCAGAGGCTTAAGTAATTTCAATTTCCTTCTCATGGACCACTTGAGGTTTATGGTTGCTGGTCCAAAACCAAAAAGATTTATGAAGAACTGTTCTGCTGACAGATGTTGCTGCAAGCAAAAGGTTACTTCTAAGAATTATTTTTTAGAATTCAAACCCACAGCTCTGGCTCAGACCATCACCCTCAAAAATCTAAAAGCATTGCCTGGGCATCCTTTGCAGGCAACATCACTCCTCCCACTATAGATCATGCCTGTCTGAAGGGAAATAAGGATTGCAAAAAATAAGGCTTGCAGAAGAAAATAAACCCCATATTATCTTGAACATTAATTTTAATTTCAATATCCCCATCGTCCAGAGTGAAAGACAATTCACACCTCCCTCTCCAACAATCTGCTGTCAATTGTAAGACAAATCCTTGATCTGAATAATAATCATGAGCAGGATGTTTTAGGATATCTTGATCATTGCCCTATCTACCCAAGGACCACTTCTGCAACCTCCTTCTCTGTGCTAGCTAGAAGTGTTAGTACCTGACCTCAGGTCTCTCAGAATTAATTCAGCCCTGTTAAAAAAAAAAAAAGATTTTAGCAAAAGCAAACTCTTTGGGTAAGGTTACACATGTCTTACCAGATTTTTTTTCCCTCAAAGTGAAAGGATACTTAACAACTGATACTTAAAATGAGATCCCATTTGCTTCCCATCCAAAGGTGTAGCTGTTTCAGAAATACATTCAGAACTATTGCTAAAGTTTTCAAAACAAGGCTTGTACCTCATGTATTTCTGGACTGGACTGCAGCACTGGACATCAGAAAGCAAGCTAAATCCTCTCACTGTCTGTCATAACTCTCCCATCAACTTCAAGGATGCATTTAAAGCTTCATTCTAGGGTTTGGCTTTTTTAAAATATATTAGAGACAAAGCACACTGGTATTTAGCAAGGTAAAACGCAGTGATGCCAGTAGTCTGACATGCTATGACATGCTGTACTTGTTCTGCATTACAGCTAGCACCATCCCCTATTTAGTGGGTAGCTCAATGGCAAGAAACAAAACTAATCCTAAATAAGTTACTCTAAGGTTAAACTATACGCTTTCAGATTCTTGTGTCATATAACTTCCTGCCTAGAGAGTTGTTGTTCATCATGTTTAATAGTTTCTGTTAAAGGCTAAACGGACATTTCCAAAAAATGTATAGTTAGTTACTTCATACGCATGCCCAAAAGAACCAATCCAATAGTTATCTGGACTAAATTAACTTTTAAGTAGACCTTGAACACAAAGCATCAAACATTTAGGGAAATGAAAATATTAAACAAATCAAATAATTTACCAGTTTTCCCACTTGCATTCTCCTTCTCTGTAATGAATTGCCATTCTTTGTAAATCAAAACACACACACCCCTCTGTATTCCCTAGCTTGCCCCAGAATCCTGTAGAATCGATTGTGTATAAACTCCTCTCTCAGTCTTCCAGTTCAAGTGCTACCAGTCTAACCCTTTAATTCAAGCAAAAGTATGAGGATGATCCAGTACCTGAGAGCTAAAATAAAGTTAGACTAAGTATAAAGGTAAGTTCACAACAAAAAGGGTAACGCAAAAGGATATTTAAATATGTGAATATATGCTGTATCAACTGAAGACAAAACCCCCAAGAAAAACAATATATCAGAATATCCCCACAGCGTTAGCTGCATTTAGAAATTACCATTCCACCAACTTGCATTACAGAGGCTAAGAGAACAACGAAATATTTATTCTGATATGAAATTCAGACAACTATTATATTGCTTTTGAAGTATCATCATTTACATAGGTGGAAGTATTTCTGGCATATGTACCTAGTGCCCTACTTTAAGATGGTTTTGAAACATTTACTGTAATTTAAATTGAACAATAAATTCCATTACAAGTATTTTTAAAAAACAGTTTTCTTTAATTTGTCATTAAGACAAGAATCACATTTTTAAACATCTACGCGGTGCTGTAAACTAGATATTGAAGACTGCATTTAAGATACTTTATTTAAAAATTATGTTAGCAAGTGCTACTATGTAACAGGTAAAACAAGACATAAAACATTTTAAAATGCTCACTTTTTTCAAAAACAAAGATTAAATTGATTAGGATATATACATGAGAAGTCATTGAGGTAAGTCAGCAAAAAACGCATTGAATGAGGCTTTCAAAACACATATTTAGGAGGAATATAAACAAGATTAGGAATTTAGAAGGGGAATAGAAACTAAATGTAAGGACTTGCGTGCCTTACAAATTTAGAGTCTTTTTAAATTTCTTTTGCTTTGGGCACTTCCTGGAGGAGCATCTTTTTTGTTCTTCCACTTTGCAGATAAACTATTACATTCTTTTGACCCATGGAAACCACGCAGACATAAAATACAGAACTCAAATGCACATGCCTCTCTGCTACATAGTCCCCGTTTCTTTACCAGCTGATATTTAGCGGGATATTGACATCTTGGACAGGGTTTTAGAGCTTCATCAGTGAACAGAGTTTGAGCAACCTGTAGCAAGAGGAGGGTGAGAAGAACTACTTAGTTCTTATAAATTAAAATTTTCTAAAAACTGAAAGTGCAGAGTTTCTTAGCTACCTACTTTTATGTATTCTTCCTGTCTACTAGTTGAATGGGGAACAGAACTGCATCTCCTAGGTGTAACTTCAGTGTATGAAGGTGGTGTTTGTGCGACAGGAGTTCTGGCTTGAGCTTGAACAGGCCTTAAAGCAGATCTATTCAGAACATTAAGTCTTGTGGCAGCATCTTCAGCTTTCAATAAATGTTCCTGTTGAAGTTTATGATTATAAAGGAAAAAAAAAATTACAAAAGGAAGCAAATTAGGGGGTTTTAAGGTTTTATTTCATTTGGGATTTGCAGCTGATTTTGCTTTTTTGTTTTGTTTTCCCTCTGCAACAACACATTAGGAATTATGTATAGTGCATATATTACCCATTAAATATTTAGTAAGGCAACAGGAGACAGGAACCATTAAAAACAATATCCCATGAGCAGGGTAAGAAGCCAAATGTTTTTCAGCACTCTCTACTGACCCTCATATTTCTGAATTAGGACACATCACAATATCAAACATGTAAATAGCTAACAACTGTTGTCGTAATTAAAACAAGGTCACCCTGAAACGTGTGTATACACACATGGAGGATCTGAAAAAATTATAGTGCTATTAATATGCCTTCTTTTCTAGATACCCCTTAAAAATTTCTATATATCCTTCTGATGTTCACAAGTACACCATGAAGAAGCTTAGCCTGAAAAATAATCAGGAAGCGGTCTAGAAGGCTGGGTCCTACTACACTGCAGACGAGTGAAAGGGAAAACGAGGAATAGCATGGCACAAGGGTATGGACAGTGGTTAAGATCTAAAATCGGAATCAGATGAGGAAGAGTTCCTACAGGATTCTCAGGAAGGAAGAGGGGAGGAGGAAAAAGAAAAGTAAGTCTCACATGACGGAAAGACTGTGGACAGCTGAACAGCAATAAAAGCTATTACATTCTTCTGTTAAAATCCTCCACATACTCATGTTAAAACTGGCTCTATCACCTACCTTTCTGTAGATTTACAAAAAGTTTCCTCTGTCCTCCGACCTGTCTTTTTTCCCCACTTGAAAGAAATATTACCTGAGATGAACCTTACTTCAGATGCTTCCTTCAGGTGTTTTATGTACAACTTTCTCCTCTTATCTGCACTTTTATCTTGTTCAATGATTTCACGCCAATTTTTGCTTACTTTCCAAATACTGGAACAAAGAAACAAAAACGGTATCCACTTCCACATTTTTTTCCAAGTAGTACAGAAGTTGCAGTAGTATGACTACCTTTAAAAGATTTTTGCATGATTTCATATACCACCGGTCACTTTGCAAACTATTGCTATACACTAGTTCACCACATTGTTACGAAACACAGATCTCTTACTCTTAGGCACCACTGCGTAGAGGTAGAGTCTGGAGAACAACTGCAGTGTAAGTAACAGCAGATATTTGAGTTACAAAATTAAATAAGTTTCTTCCTTCCACATAAGCCATTTACCAAGCTTGTTTTTAAGTCACATTTTTGTACGTTAAGTGTTCTGAAAACATCCATACCCTTATACTTCCACCTGTTCTCCCATTCCTTTTGTAGCTAATAACACACATCACTCTTGATTTCTTTGAAATAAGTGATAGTTTCTATTGATCAAAAATTAATCCAGAACATTACTCATGAAGCAAAATTCTTCGAGCATCTTTGTGCTTGGAAATAACTGAGAAAATTAAATACACAAGAAAAGATTCTTGAAAATGTATTTTGAATGCTATGTATTATTGGAGAACTTGCAATGAGAATATATTACTTGATAGGCTTAAAGAAATGTTTCATATATTTTTAAAATAAGTATTGTGATTCAGTTTTAAATGTACTAATTTCCACGTTTGGCTTTTTGTTTGCTTGTTTTGATTTTTAATACCCTTATACAATACATTTTTTGAACTACACAGAAACAGCCTCTTGGTTAATGGTGATAAGATTTTTCATTTCCTCAAAACCAAACAAATTCTCTTCACAACACCCACTATTCCAAAAGTTGTTCTAATTTATTTGCAGAAACACATATTTTCTGGGAGGAAAAAAACTAAAAAAAAAAAAAAGCAGTAGTACTTACCTGCATAGACTTTCCACTGTCAAAGCATCTAAAACTATAGCAAGAACATGTTTTAAATTTCTGTATTTTAACTCTGTTAAAATATCTATTTTTTCAAGGCCCATTTTCTTGCCAATAAGTCCAGCAAGAACATGTTCCAGGGTAAATATTTCTGTTCCATCAATATTTTCTGATATTTGATGTTGGGCTGATCTTTGCCTTTGCAAGCAAATTTCACGAACTACTATCAGAGCTGGAGTTCTTGTGAGATCTGCGTGACTTACAACTAAGTCTCCACTAGGCTGTTCTTCTAAAACTAATGCATGGTCTTCATTTAGAAAGTTTCTTTCTTCTATTAGCATGCATGCTGAATTAGAAGGACTGCCAGGATGATCTTCAGTCTCTGACTGTGAGCCCTGTTCCCGAAGAGTGGATAACCTTCTAACTCGCTCAAGTTTTCTTGTCTTTCTTTTACTATCTGGAATTATGGAACTTTCTTTACGCTTTGGGAAGAACTCTTGGAAAGATCCCTCATGATCAGAGAATGCGTCTCCGGATTTGTCCAAATGCATTGAATTATATCCACTATCCTCAGGTGTGGAAAGATCTGGGTAACTTGCCAACTTAGCAGGGGAAGAGTTTGCATCACATAATTCAAAGTTAAAGTTCAAGTTCTCGACCAGACTGTTGATAGAAGTCAGGAGCTTACTCTCATTGGCCTCAGGTAACACACTGTAAGTGGGAGTCCTAAGCAACCCATCACTAAGACTCGTAAGGACACTTTCATTTAATTCATTAGCGTTACTAATAACATCCTTACACCGAATTGGAGATAAACAATCTGGTTCTAGCAATAGAGGGTCCTGACATTTGGACTCATCTAGCGTAGAAGTCCTTTGTTGTGAATAGGAAAGTCTCCGTTTTGGGCAGTCAGGATTAGAGACCTCAGTTTTCCAAGTGGTAGTTGTTAGAAGTTCGTAACTTCTATCTTTTGGAGAATCTGAACCAGTTTCTGAGAGTTTTTCTTCAGAGCTCAGAACACAAGAAAATATTTTTCTCCTCCTGTTGCCTGAAGAACTAGTTTGGCTTCCACAGCATCCTACAGTTGTGCCTGTTGGAACAGACTTAGACAAAAGCAGCCTCCTGCGTAGCAAGGAGCCTTTTCTACCCACTTTAGGGGTTTCAAAAAAATCTACACTTCTATTTGCTTCTCTTCTTTCCAATACAGAAACACGATTAGTTTCATTTTCAACAGATGATGGAACAGGAAAGAGACCATTCGGATGAATGTGCTTGGGATGCTCTTGCAGCAATGATAAACTTGTTACACTCAGTACTCTGTTAGGTTCTGCATCAGGATCTTTTACTGACTCATTGCAGCTGCTGTCCAGCATTACTGAAGTGCAACACATGTCTTTAAAATTGGAGCATTTAAAACTGCTGCTGGGAGATGTCAATCTATTTCTTTTAAGAATATTGAACATTACTGAATGACTGTCTGACATCTTCTGCTTGGTACTTTGGCTTTGTAAATGAAGATACCAGTGTTATTTCTGAAACAAACAATAAAAGCAGTCACCAAAACACCCTCAGATTAGAGAAAACCTTGTGTAAGGTGATCAAGCTAGCAGCCATGACAGAAGTACTGTCAGTAGTCTTAGTAGAAACAGTACTTACACATGAACACTAACATAAGTTACAATCAAGTAGGGAATGAGTGATTAAAATACATAGTATACCATGAAGCAAATTAAAATGTACATCCAGTTAGCTAATTGATCTGCCCATCCTCATCCAAGCAAAAAGACTTCAAGCAAGCAACACAGCAACTAGAGTCTCATTTGTACTGAAATCAGAGACAAAACTCCTCCTCGCTCCAAAAGGACCAAGATTTTTATTAGCACCGTGTTATTGGTCCGTCCAAACACTAACAGTTCCATCCTCAAGAACTAGCAGAAGGTCTGATAATAGATAAATATAGACAAAAGGCATTTTCTCCTTGAGAAAAATGAGAGGATTAATCATGAAGTCACAAGTCTACAGGTCTCCCTGTTACTGAGAGGGACTAAAATCTGACCTCTAGTTACACAGTGAACGGTGCTTTCTTCTCTGCCTTAACATTAAAATGTTAATTTCTAAAGAAGCTCTCTGCTTTTGTCTGGCTCTGTGGGTAAACTGAGTGTTCTGAAGCCTTACACTTTAAAGAAACTAATGAACTGACTATACACATCCTCTCACCCTGTACATAGAAAAAAAAAGTTCTTTTAAATTCAGTAATTATAAAACCTTTTAATAGGTGCTATATAACTTTCCTCAGGAAAGCACAAGTGGCCGATGCGCCGATTTAAATAAGAGACGTAAGAATACAGACTTGCTTTTTTGCCACTGAGAAGTTGTTTGCCCGGAGAAGCTGTGGATACCCCATCCCTGGATGTCTTCCAGGCCAGGCTGGATGAGGCTTGGAGCAACCTGGTCTAGTGGAGGGTGCCCCTGCCCATGGCAGGGGGGTTGGAACTGGATGGTCTTGAAGGTCCCTTCCAACCCAAACCATTCTATGAACTTTACAAGATCGTTGTAATATATAAAATGTTTTGGTTTGTTTCCTAAATGTTGCTGTCTCCTCACTGTAGAGGTTCACAAGGAATAGGATATTACAGAGCAGACTGAGAACTTAGCATAAAGGTCTATAGAATCATGCTAACATTGGTATAAAAAAAAAAACCAAGTTTTTTTTTTTTTTTTAAATCCATTCACATAGCTGAGAAAAATTCTTCCAGGAAAGAAAGGTATGTGAAAATAATTCCAAGTAGCTGATAAACTCCGAAGTCTGTCTTGCCTTCTTTTCCCTCTCCCATTTACCTCTACAAGTACCTAACTTCCATATTTGTTTTCCTTCACTTTTTTCCTGATTCCCCTTCTTTACTTGGCAAAATAAATGAGAGCACAAATAGGAAACACAAGTGCATGGCTTTAAGCTAGTTATTACATGAATTAGGGATAACTTCCTTGACAGTGCAAGATCAACTCTAAGCAGTGCCTAGTGTTTCATCTGCATCACTTTTCAATGATTTAGCCAATAGGCTGAAAATGCTGTGTCATGAACTAGACAACTTTGAAAAGGTAGAAGAAAAATGTATGAGGAGTCTCTGTGTAGTGCTTTGCTGCTCCTCAGTTGATGATTCACACTATAAGCAGAGGGACACATCAGGATAGCTCTTTTGGCTAAAGGAGAAAGACCTGTAAGAAACCTGTAATAACAATAGGACGTTATCTTTGTGCGATTTACAAAAAGAACAGAGGTTTCATTTTATGTGCTGAATTTTGATGAACTACAGTTAGTCAGTAAATATTGCCAGAAGATATTTCTACCAGAAGTGCTGATGGACAAATATTTAAACTCTGAATGCTATTTAGAGACAGCTATTCAAAACCTCAATTTAAAAAAAAAAAAAGAAAAAAAAAACAACACCACACACATACCCACACTTACCCTTAAAAATATTACTATTTTCTTAAACACAGTCAAATTAACCACACATTTTAAAAAAATGACACAAGCTTGCAGGTTTAGAAACTTAATGTTCAGGCAGCATGGCGAAGAAACAACAGAAGGAAAACTCACACTTGCAGTTCCATTCTCAGACATTCATTGGAGAAATTACCTAATCTTATGAACAGCTGAGAGTAGAGGAAGTTTAAAATATTACAGTATAAAAGAATTTAAGAAAACTTGTGTTTCAAGTAACATAGAATCACAGGAAAACAGAATTTGCAGCTGTAAAGGAGAACAGAATAGCAGAGTTAAGGAATGTTGGTAATCAAAGTCAAAGCCAAAAGCACGCCGTGAATACGCCAAGGTCCAGCAGGAGGAGCCTGTGAGCTTACTAGATTGAGTTAGAGGAGCAACTGAAACAATTACAGGGAAACCACTACAATACAGACACTGAGTGGACAATGTCCAGTACGCTTCTTTACGTGAAATTCCAGCATACATCTCAATTTTGTATACACTTTTGTCCCCCCAAAAATATATTACTAGTACAAATTAAGATTTAATTTAACACAAGGTTTCATTTTACAAACACAATACAGAAGGGCCTCTCAGAGGTGCTGAACATCTCATAAGAGAATGATATGCTACTTATATTCATAAGAGATGTCTAATAAAACCTCCTGCTACTTGTCTAGCATTTTATAAGCACTTCCTTTTTTCTCAGGAGAAAAGTTTCACCTACAAGATTTGATACATAACATCAAGCTCTTCATCTGAGAATCTTGAAGTAATTTCTGAAAGTATTGTTAACCTTGTTTTAGGCATCATAAAACAGATGTGCAGGGAAGAAAAGACTAGTCACACAGAAGATGAGTTACAGAGGAAGGAATAAAATCTCTGTCTGCTAACTGTTGATTCTTGTGCTCTATATGTTTCTCATATCTATTAACTTTGTAGTTTGTAAATTGATCTACAAGTCAGCTGCAAACTTTCTGGCAGCTTACAGAATAAACTATTTCATATTCAGAGACCCAAACTAAATTAAGAACACGATTCAGACAAGGAATCATTTCTGATAAGCATAGTCTTACAAAGCGTCCTAAAGAGGTTAAAATGTTGGCTACTAGAAGGTGATGTAAATGGTGCCTACTCAGACGCGAGTTCTAGGACAGAGTAACACCTGTGTCTGTGACTAATTTACATTCCTCAGTAGCACACACTGAACATGTATGCATTAAATAAGATGTTTTCTGTCCTTAGCACCCTTCACCATTGTTAACAAAACAGATAAAGGCAACGTTTGGGTGACAGAAGGGTATGTTCTCTATTGTTGAAACAGATATCATGCAGTAAAACTATCTGGAGACTCTGCTCTTTCAGCACCCAGATCAAAAAAACCCACAGACAAGTCATTGATACCTGCAAAGATATTAATATTGAAGATGACACAGCTAAGTCCTATCTGTAAGATATGCGTCACTTACCCTAATTTATGAAGCAACCCGAGATCTTCCAAAGCAAAGGTGCAGTATTCAAAGTACTGTTTACCCCTACTGATAACCTGAACTGAGAAAAGATGTGGAGACAAAAGAAAGAGGTGTAAGAGAAACGTTACCCAGCTGAGACAGAGTTTTCGGCTCGCCTTTATATGCATCCACTGCGATGTCTAATTACCCAGCGATGAAGATAATTGACAGCTACTTAGGGACTAGCACCCGAGGGTCTCTCAATCACCTGGGTTACCGGGAAACGAGCAAAGCAACAGCTTCAGCCCCGTATCTGGCAAATCACCGGGCACGGGAAACCGAGCCTAGAGGCCCCCTACCACCGAGTGCAGCTGAGGCGGCGGCGGGCTCTCAGGGAAGGGCTGAGGGCAAGGAGCCCCCTCCCCGGCTGGCTGGAGAGAACGGGAATCCTGCCGCCTCAGCAGCTCGCTTGCCGGGCTCTGGGGGCCGTTGCCCTTAGCGAGGAAGCCGCTTCGCTTCTCTCCACCCACACCGGCTCC